TCGGGCGCAGGGCGGGGCCAGGACCGAGTCGGGCGCGTCCCCCCCATACAGGAGGAACACTCAAAGGAATAATCAAGACATGGTCTGGGGGGCGTCTTTGTTGGGGGTAGGTTTTGTGCATTTGGGTGGTATCGTTCCCCCCATACAGGAGAGGAATACTCCAGAAGAATCCAGAAATGGTCTGGGGGCCCCCGGGGGCGCAAGGCGAGGGGCCAGGACCGAGTCGGGCGCGTCCCCCCATACAGGAGAGGCAAGGCGAGGCAAGGGCGAAGTCGGGCGCAGGGCGGGGCCAGAACCGACTCGGGCGCGTCCCCCCCATACAAGAGGAACACTCAAAAGAATAATCAAGACATGGTCTGGGGGGCGTCTTTGTTGGGGGTAGGTTTTTTGCATTTGGGTGGTATCGTTCCCCCATACAGGAGAGGAATACTCCAGAAGAATCCAGAAATGGTCTGGGGGCCCCCGGGGCGCAAGGCGAGGGGCCAGGACCGAGTCGGGCGCGTCCCCCCATACAGGAGAGGCAAGGCGAGGCAAGGGCGAAGTCGGGCGCAGGGCGGGGCCAGGACCGAGTCGGGCGCGTCCCCCCCATACAGGAGGAACACTCGAAAGAATAATCAAGACATGGTCTGGGGGGCGTCTTTGGTGGGGGTAGGTTGTGCTTTGGGTGGGATCGTTCCCCTACAGGAGAGGATACTCCAGAGATCCAGAAATGGTCTGGGGGCCCCCAGGGCGCAGGCGAGGGGCCAGAGAGTGGGGGGCGCGTCAACCCCCATACAGGGAGGCAAGGCGAGGCAAGGACGAAGTCGGGCGCAGGGCGGGGCCAGGACCGAGTCGGGCGCGTCCCCCCCATACAGGAGGAACACTCAAAAGAATAATCAAGACATGGTCTGGGGGGCGTCTTTGTTGGGGGTAGGTTTTTTGCATTTGGGTGGTATCGTTCCCCCCTACAGGAGAGGAATACTCCAGAAGAATCCAGAAATGGTCTGGGGGCCCCCGGGGCGCAAGGCGAGGGGCCAGGACCGAGTCGGGCGCGTCCCCCCATACAGGAGAGGCAAGGCGAGGCAAGGGCGAAGTCGGGCGCAGGGCGGGGCCAGGACCGAGTCGGGCGCGTCCCCCCCATACAGGAGGAACACTCAAAAGAATAATCAAGACATGGTCTGGGGGGCGTCTTTGTTGGGGGTAGGTTTTGTGCATTTGGGTGGTATCGTTCCCCCCTACAGGAGAGGAATACTCCAGAAGAATCCAGAAATGGTCTGGGGGCCCCCGGGGCGCAAGGCGAGGGGCCAGGACCGAGTCGGGCGCGTCCCCCCATACAGGAGAGGCAAGGCGAGGCAAGGACGAAGTCGGGCGCAGGGCGGGGCCAGGACCGAGTCGGGCGCGTCCCCCCATACAGGAGGAACACTCAAAAGAATAATCAAGACATGGTCTGGGGGGCGTCTTTGTTGAGGGTAGGTTTTTTGCATTTGGGTGGTATCGTTCCCCCATACAGGAGAGGAACACTCCAGAAGAATCCAGAAATGGTCTGGGGGCCCCCGGGGCGCAAGGCGAGGGGCCAGGACCGAGTCGGGCGCGTCCCCCCATACAGGAGAGGCAAGGCGAGGCAAGGGCGAAGTCGGGCGCAGGGCGGGGCCAGGACCGAGTCGGGCGCGTCCCCCCCATACAGGAGGAACACTCAAAAGAATAATCAAGACATGGTCTGGGGGGCGTCTTTGTTGGGGGTAGGTTTTGTGCATTTGGGTGGTATCGTTCCCCCCATACAGGAGAGGAATACTCCAGAAGAATCCAGAAATGGTCTGGGGGCCCCCGGGGCGCAAGGCGAGGGGCCAGGACCGAGTCGGGCGCGTCCCCCCATACAGGAGAGGCAAGGCGAGGCAAGGGCGAAGTCGGGCGCAGGGCGGGGCCAGGACCGAGTCGGGCGCGTCCCCCCCATACAGGAGGAACACTCAAAAGAATAATCAAGACATGGTCTGGGGGGCGTCTTTGCTGGGGGTCGGTTTTTTGCATTTGGGTGGTATCGTTCCCCCATACAGGAGAGGCCTTGTATTTGGGCGCGTCCCCCCATACAGGAGAGGCAAGGCGAGGCAAGGACGAAGTCGGGCGCAAGGCGGGGCCAGGACCGAGTCGGGCGCGTCCCCCCTAACAGGAGGAACACTCCAGAAGAATCCAGAAATGGTCTGGGGGCGTCTTTGTTGGGGGCGTCTTTGTTGGGCGTCTTTGTTGGGGCCAGGACGAAGGCGGGCGCGTCCCCCCATACAGGAGAGGCAAGGCGAGGCAAGGACGAAGTCGGGCGCCAGGCGAGGCCAGGACGAAGGCGGGCGCGTCCCCCCCCCCCTACAGGAGGAACACTCCAGAAGGATCCAGAGATGGTCTGGGGGGCGTCTTTGTTGGGGGTAGGTTTTTTGACTATCTAGAGGTATTGTTCAAGTACTGTGCTGGCTTTCCGTTCAAAAGCCGCCCGTCGGGGGACATGCCCGACCGAAGGCCAGGACGAGGGTGAAGCGAAGGGCACGACGAAAACACGACAAGAGCACGGCGGGAGACGAGGCCAGGACGAGGGTGAAGCCAAGGGCACGACGAAAACAAGACGACTGGATGCAAGACGAGGCCAGGACGAGGGTGAAGGGAAGGGCACGACGAAAACACGACAAGAGCGGGACGCAGGACGAAGCCAGGACGCGGGCGAAGCAAAGGGCACGACGAAAAAATAAAACAGGATGCAAGACGAGGCCAGGACGAGGGTGAAGCAAAGGGCACGACGAAAACACGACAAGAGCAGGACGCAAGGCGAAGCCAGGACGAGGGTGAAGCAAAGGGCACGACGAAAACAAGACGACAGGATGCAAGACGAGGCCAGGACGAGGGTGAAGGGAAGGGCACGACGAACACATGACAAGAGCAGGGCGTGAGACGAGGCCAGGACGAAGGTCAAGAAAGGGGCACGGCAAAAAAACAAAGCAGGATGCAAGACGAAGCCAGGACGAGGGTAATGCAAGACGAAGCCGGGACGAGGGTATAGGAAAGAGCATGAGAAAAACAAGAAGAGGACGTAAGACGCAGCCAGGACGAGGAGTAAGGAAAGATTACGACAGAACAACCAAAAACATGATGCAAGACGAAGCCAGGACGGGGGTAAAGGAAAGAGCACGACGAAAAAAACAAAAACTGGACGTTAGACGAGGCCAGGACGACGATAAAGGAAAGAACACGACAAAAACACAACCAGGACGCAAGACGAAGCCAGAACGAGGATAAAATCGAATGAGGATAAATCGGACAGGAACAAGATCGGACCAGGACGAATCGGAGAACTCTGAGATCCTGCGGCTCTGGCGGCCTTCTCAGAGAGTGCCGGAGCGCTCGAGAATGGATGTATCCTCGTCCCAGCCCCGTCCGAGGATGAACAACAGCAGAAACTTCTTTGGTCCCACTCCTAGCCCTCCTGTTTTTTTCTGGCCACACAAGGAGTCGCCCCGGCAGCCCCGCGAGGAATACGAGGCTACGAAGACCCGTCCCTCCCTCCCTCCCGCCCTCCCCCCTCTCTGGAGGCCTAAGCCTCCCCTCTCCTCCCCTCCCTCCCTCCCTCTCCCTGGAGAAATCAGAGGGTACCGATACCGCTGCTCCCCGGACCCCTCCTGGGGTGCGTTCTGGCCAGAACTTCGAGGCGAATCCAGCGGTGGCGACGAAGGCCTCCCACGAACGAACGAACTGCCATACGCCGGAGCGCGTGGGCAAAAGATAATGCCAGCCTGAACTCGCCGCTTTGCGGGAGCGACTGCACGTCGGCTGTCTCATAATGCAAAGCGTGCGCGATTGGAGGAGGAGCAGCAGCAGCAGCAGCAGCAGCAGCAGCAGCGGGAGGGGAGGGAGGAGGAGCGAGAAAGGAGGGCCTCCCAGGAGGCCCAAAAAGAAGAAAGCGGGCGGAGGCCAGAGGCACGGGTACCCTTTCCTTCTCAGACTCCCGCTCCAACGACACGCATCGCGACAGGGCCGCCGGAAACACACGCACACGCACGCACGCGCACACGCACGGCCAGAGGCTGCTGCGCGGCCCGAGCCACGGGTGGCCACGCGCCGCACGCGGAGCCCGCCCCTGCCGAGCCGGCGTGCGCCCCGGCAGCTGGCGGGGGCCGGGCGCCGGAGAGGCGCGCGGCCACCCGTGCACGCGCCCTGCGCTGGCCCAGGCCAGCCGCGTGCTGCGCATCGATCATCGGGGGCGCGCAAGCAGGGATTCGCGCGATCCATATGGATCTGGCGCGCGGTCGCCAAGGCCATGGATCGGGGGAGGTGCCCTCCCCAGAATGCGGCCGGTGCCGCCTCGCTCAGCGGCGGAAATCCGCGATTTCCCATGGAAACGGGACCCGTCGCTAATCCACGCCCCCTGAATCCATGTTTGCGTTCTGCGCATCCAGCTAAAACTGCATGCAGCAGAGGCCAGTCCACAAGAAACCCTCCACGAGAAACCAAGCCCCGAGACACCAGGACGTCCATCGATTTTTTCGGTGGGAGCGTCGCGCTCTCCACGGCAAAACCATCGAAACCCAAGAAACCCTGGGCACCCAGGAGGCAAGCAGGGCGTTTCTTGCCATGGGCCCCCACTGTACATAAATCCCTGCCTCCATCCCCTTTAGAGATCCAGAGATCCGCGCGGAGTTCTCGGGTCGGCGCTGGACCCCCTCTGGCGGCGCCTCCGGCGCCGCAGAGCTGAGAAATCCGCGGGAACCTCCGAAAGATTCATGTTCATGCAGTCGATTCGATTATCTACCCCCCTGCCGATCTCTCGTCTCCTCCTTCCCTCCATCCCTCCCTCACCCTCTCGTCTACTTCCCCTCCTCTGGTCTCCTCTCGTCTGCTTCCCCTCCTCCACCTCCCCCTCGTCAATTTCCCACCCCACCCTCAGACAGCACGCACAGAGACGGACGACGACACAGATAGAGAGAGGAAGAGAGAGAGAGAGAGACAAAGATAGAGGAAGATAAAGGCAAGCAGACAGCCAGCCAGCCAGCCAGCCAGCCAGCCAGCCAGACACACAGACAGACAGAGGGAGAGAGAGGCAGAGAGAAAGATGAAGACAAAGAGACAGACAGACAGACAGACAGACAGACAGACAGACAGAGAGACAGACAGACAGACAGACAGACAGACAGACAGACAGACAGACAGACAGACAGACAGACAGACAGACAGACAGAGAAAGGCAGACAGACAGACAGACAGACAGAGGCTGAGACCGAGACGGAGACAGAAGCAGAGGCAGAAGCAGAGCCAGAGGCAGAGGCGGAGCCGGAGGCAGCGGCAGAGGCGGAGGCAGGGCCAGAGAGGCAGCGCCGGGAGAGGCAGCGAGGCACGGAGCGCCCGCGGGCCTGGCCGCTGAGAGCCCGGGGCCCCAGCGGCCGCGGCGGCGCGCCCACGAGGTCTGCGCTGCGGCTGTGGGCGTGGCCGCGGCCCCGGTGCGGCAGCTTGGGGCAGCTCTGCGAGCGCGCGGGGGCCGCCGCCGCCGGGATCGGCCTCCGCCGAGCGTCGCAGCAACGGCGCGACGACAGCTGACGACGACGCCGACGACGACAGCTGACGCCGACGACGACGACGACGCCGACGCCGACGCCGACGAAGACGACCGAGAGTTACAGATGCCTGCAGTAAAGAATGCACGGGGATGGGAGAAGTATAGGCCGTGCCAGTCGTGGAAAGGTCATGGGCGCATCCTCGAGCAAACACAGGGGATGCGTGCCTGTGGGTATTCTGTTTAGGGGGGCATATTCAGCGATGCGCCAGATAATCCTTAGGTTTTGACACTCGAACACGGCCCTTACTCAAATATCCTGAGCTATGAGGTTCCCTTCTCTGGGGTATTATTGACGGATGTTCCAATCACGAAATCTTGCGACATAGCTGCATCGTTTCGTTCTAAGTACGCGCGCGCGCTAGAGAGCGGCGCCTGGACCCTTTTCCGCAGCGTTTCGCGAAGCGGGGATCTACATCCATGGTCTTGAGCCCGACGCGCGGAAACGCGCGCGCAGGGTCGCACATAAAAGAATCACAGGGGCGACGGTAACGACTCACCCCGCGGCAGGCTCTGGAGCCACCAAAGCCACTGCATGCCAGCCTTCAGCACACTTCGTCATGGCGCGCAAGCCCAAAAAGCGTTTACAGCGCTGCCCGTCCCAGTAGTACCTGCACGTCGTTCATGTCTGATCGTGCTCACTTCCAATTGTGCTCGTCTCGACGTGTTCCTGGCCCCCCAGTGGCCAGGAAGAGGCCCAGGATGGAACAATCAGAAACGAAAGGATCGTGGGCCCCCCAAAAAATCAAAGAACTTCCGAAGAACAATTAGAAACGAAAGGATCGTGGGCCCCCAAAAAATCAAAGCACTTCCGCAGAACCAGAAGTGCCCAAGGCGTGCTCCTGCTGCCGAGGCGAGGCCTCGCCTGCTCGACGCGGCCCTACTTGACCCCGCAGGCCCGCGGAGCACCTGGCGCTGCTCGCTCCGCCGGTGCTGCTCTGCGCGCGGCCTGCCTCCGGCGGCGAGCGAGTGACTGCCTACCAGACCACCCCAACCCAACCCGAAGACCCGAATTTCGGGATGGGGGGGTAAGGGTTCCACATGTGTTTTGTTCGATGTTTCCCGACCCCCCCCCCCACTGGAAATCGAGGGTCAATCTGAGCCTTCGGGTTGGGTTGGGGTGGTTTGGTGGGTGGTGAGCGACGGGGGGGAAGTGAGAAGGAGGAGGCCCTCTCAAAGGCTCGCAAGTACCCCCAGCCTTCTGAGAAGTTCTCTACGCCTTCCCCGAAGACAGGAGAAACGTCTCAGGAGGCGCGAGGGCTCCTCGGAAGTCCCGCCGCCTTCTGAGAAGGCCGTCTCCATCCTATTCCCCCCCCTCGCTCGCCGCCGATACATTCGGCCTCCTCGTTCACTTGGACTTCCTCCCTGCCATCAGCCAGTCGGGCCACAAGTACTCCACGAGTCAGTCTCGCTGGCCCACGCTCCAGTTGCGCCAGGGCCTTCTTCATCACGGCCATGGCTCGCAGGGTCTCCTCTCCAGTGACCCGAGACTTCATTGTTCCACCAGGACGTCGAACCTTGCAGTTGTTGAAAACCTTGTTCCCTTCTTTTCCACGTTCTGTGCTCTGCCACTTGTTCGCACGGTCGCCATAGGAACGGTATGAGTTGCACCTCTTGGAGGCATGATTTCCCTTTCCAGGGTTCCACTCGGTCCCTGCACCCGCCCTCCCCGACTCGCGATCTCGGCGTTGGTTAGTGCATCTGCCATTGCCGACTCCCCAGTCATCATCTTCATCGCCTCCGTCAGGTCGGGCTACCACCTGCACTCGCGGCAGAGCCATGGGTGGCCAGGTAAATGGGAGTAGCACCCACAGCCCCGGAGCCGTCTCCGCTGCCTGCTGCCGCAGCGACAGGGTCGCCTGGCATAGTCGGCGCCACGTCGACGTCTCTGTCACTGTGCGCACCACCGCCAGAGGCTGCGGCCGCGGATGGCGCCATTACGACATCTCTCTCACCAGAAACACCAGTGCCAGAGGCTGTGCCGCGTTCTTCGTCCTGGGCGGTGACTTTCTGACCGTCAAGCGCCGATGCACCATACCGGGATGGGTTGCTATCTGGTGGGTGGGTGGTCAAGTCAGCCAGACGCGGACTGATCCCCGTGTTTCGGACCACAGAGGCTGCAACGTGACCCACAGTCGGCCGTGGAAGCCGATGGCGCCCCCCGCAACCTCGCGATGGCACCCTGGGGTCTACATGCGTCCATCAAGGCCAACTGTTCCCAGAGCCTCAAGGACAAAGTGAACTCTTTTGTACGCCACCTGGTCAGACAACAACGCCCTCGCCAGGATCGCGCTGTCCGGGCCGAGGTGCGTGACAGGTTTTTTCGGCCCCCATGCGGCCAAGATGACATTCGATACGGCCTCGATTATAGCCAAGACGACAACAAAACGGCGCAAGATGGCCCAAGACAACTCAAGAGCATCTCAAGAACCTCTAGACGGCTCCAATAGCCCAAGAGGGCCTCAAGACGGCTCAAGAGGCCCCCAAGACTGCCCGAGAGAGCTCCAAGATGCCTTCCTGGAGAGCCCGAGGGGGGCATCACCTTCGCGGGTTTGCGACCGCCCAAGATGGCCCAAGCAGCCTCCAAGAGGCCTCCAATATAGCTCCAAGACGGCCCAACAGGCCCCCAAGAGGCCCGAAGTCAGCCCAAGAGGACCCAAAGAACGCCCAGGGGGCTCCCAAAGGGGGCCCCAAAACGGCCTTGAAGAGCTCCAAGGGAGCAACAAGACAGCCCAGAGAGGCCTCTTGGGCTGTCTTAGGCGGTCGGAAACCCAGACATGCCAGAACCTCACAATCTTTCATTCAAAAACCAATGGGAAATCAACGGTTGCAGCCCCCTCGGGCTCTCCTGAAGAGTCTCTTGGAAACCTCTTGAGCCGTCTTGGGGGCCTCGTGACCTGTCTTGAGGCCTTCTGGGTGGCCTCAGGGCCTCCAGGGCGGCTGTCGAGGCAGCCGAGGTGACGCCGAGACGGCCCAGGATGGCCCAACACGGCTCAGGGGGCTCCCAGGACAGCCTCGAGACAGATCAAGAAGCCCCCACGACGGCCCAAGGGGTCTTCAAGAGACCCTCCTGGAGCCCGGGGAAGCCAAAACACCATTGATTCCCTTCCGGTGTTTAGAAGAGTTTGACGTTATCACCCGCGCGGGTTTGCGACCACCCAAGGAGGCCAAAGAAGCTTCCAAGAGGCCCCCAAGATAGCTCCAGGACGGCTCAAGAGGCCACCAAGAGGGCCCGAACTCGGGCCAAGAGGGCGCAAAGACCGCACAATGGGGCCCCCAAGAGGGCCCAAAGGGCACAAACGCGGCCTAGAGAGGTCCTGAAGACTGCCCCCATAGGCGCCAGACGGGCCAAGAGCTCCCGCAGACGGCCCAGAGGGACCCCAAGAGGGCCCCAAAACTGCCCCATGAGGCCCCAAGAAGCTCACGAAAAGGTTTCAGGGAGTTCCCCGGAGGTCCCCAGGAAACCCCGAGAAACCCAGGAGCCTTGTCCTCATTAGATTCATTTTCTCCACATCCTCCTCATCCTCCTCCTCCTCCTCCTCCTCCTCCTCCTCCTCTCCTCCTCCTCCTCCTCCTCCTCCTCCTCCTCCTCCTCCTCCTCCTCCTCCTCCTCCTCCTCTTCCTCCCCCTCCTCCTCCTCCTCCTCCTCCTCCTCCTCCTCCTCCTCCTCCTCCTCCTCTTCCTCCTCCCTCCCCCTCCTCCTCCTCCGCCTGTTCCCCCCTCGCCGCGCGGACGAAGACGAGGTCGGGATCACGGCCCGCCCCCAAAAGCAGACTGCTCGTCGACATTGCGCTGTTCCTGCACTCGTCCTCCTTCCTGCCGCGCTGCTGCACAAAAACGATGGCCGTGCTTGCCGCGGGCAGCTGGACCTGGCGGGATCACGGATCACGTCGTTGCGACACCACTCACGCGGGGCACGGCACCGCCTTGCGGCCTCCACGACGAAGCCTGCCACAGAGCGAATGGGCCACCCCTTTGCCTCCGAGCACCCATGGAATTTTGTCCACGGGAAGTGGGGTTCCTACATTCATCGACCACCAACGCAATGAGCCTTCCTATCACGGCACTGGAAAATACTCTTTCGGAGGCGGCCCGCGGAACGCATCGACAAGGACTTCCCCAGAGTCGACCAGAGGTCAGTTGCACGTTTCGAACCTAACTTCCCTGAATCCCAAGAAGCAATCGATATTGCCCACCGGAGTGGGTTCCCCACGATCAAATTCAGTCCCTTCAGAGGTAGCCGCGTTGCCCCTGCTTCTTTTAGCGTGCCCACTCGAGACCCAGCGACGGGCGTCCTCGATCTGTCTGAACCCGACGCCAGTCCCGGAAGCGCGGGCCATGCGTGCGATATCATTGTGACCCAGTTTGCCCGGTGAGACTGCTACCAGTTCTTCCACTCATCGCTAGAAGTCCCCACGGCATCGACTTGACCGGGTCCGACAGGTCCCAGTCCAACATGCTGAGCGGCGGTCCAGGTTCACAAGAAAGCACAGCTCGGGATGCCAGCTTATCGCTTCCTCGGTCGGCGGTACGTTTTCGGACACCATGTGGGACTGCATTCGCAAGATCAGACTCGGCACCTGTGATTTTCTCGAGGACATGTCCATCATTGACTATCCCTACGCAGCCGGATACCTTAGCAGGCCTAAGAGATGGAATGATCTTGCTTCGGCCACGCACGCTATGCATTCCCCACCCTGGCACGATCTGACAGACCTCCGTTGCCTCAGCGAGCTCGGGCTGGCCTCTCGGCATCACAGCCCCGCACCGCGTCTACTTAGACTCGTGCTCAATGCAAATTTCAGAATCAAAAGTAACCAGCATTCTCGCTTTCATTCGGTCTTCCTCTTCCACGGTCAGCCACGCTTCAAATTAGAGCTGTCCACTATTTCCTCGCTGTATTTCCCCTAAGTCAACCACGTCTCACTACCCTGGCCGACGGCAGAGCCTCCAGACAGGGACGCGGCACCCAGGTCAGCCCGCGCCCTCGGAGCGGCGGGACCATTCGGCGACATTGCACCCAGCGCCCGCTCCACCGCATGGAACTAGAAATGGTTCGGATTACCATGTCTCGCCGCGCCAATGGAAGAGGAAGCTACGCGCCCATGCACAGCATCTTTAAGTGCTGACTCTTCGAGAAGGGTAAACGTCACTCCGCGATGGTCATCGATCCATCTCTCATACATTGGGCGCAGCCTCCGCTCCTCAACCCAGGATGTCGCACGCCTGGGCGATGCCCCAAGGAGCCTTGGGGTTCTGTCGTCTCTCAACAATAATCTCCACTCCTCTCCCTCAGCAGGCGAACGCACGCAGCGCGGCCCCCTCGCGCCCCTTGCTTGGGCCTCTCTGTTGAGCCTAGACGGCTCGGCCGACCCCCATGCCAGGGGGCGGCCCGCTGGCGCCCGGCACAGACGGGCCGGGGCCGCCTGCGTCAGCCGCGGAGGGAGCCTCAGGGGCGGCACTCGCCTACGCGGCCACGCCCGGGCCGCGGCCAGCGGGCCGGCGACGGGCGGGGGCGCCTTCGCGCGAGTCGCCCATCCTGGGCCGCCGACTGACAGGGAGCGCCGCCCGAACATCGCGCTGCGCGGCACGCGCGTCGCGACGGAGGCCGGCGCCGCGGGGGCCGCGGCTCAGGCGCTCGAGGCCTCAGCGGAAGCAGGCCCCTTCGGCGCCGCTCGCCGGGGCAGCCACCGCTGCGCCCACGGCGGGGGCTGCCGCCCGACCCTGGGGAGCAGGCCACCCTGGGCTGCGAGCCAGCAGAAACGCGACGACGCTACCCCGCAGGCAGACAGGGCAAGGCGCGCGAGAACCTGCAAGTGCCATGCAATCAAGCCTGGAAAAGGACCCAGCCTCCGTCCCCGCAAGCCTCGCAGGGGGAACACGGGAGGGGGGGCGGACAGCGAGATGGCGCACGGGGTCGTCGGCTCTGCGAACGTCGGCAGGCACGTAGAGACCACCTCCTAGGTAGAGCCCCCCCGACGACACAAGGTAACATCGTGCAGGAGACATGGGGCAGTCCAGGAGAACTGCCGCGGCCGTTCGCGGCAACGCATAGACTCACTTTAGCATCGGACAGCACGGGTAACCTCGAATCGCGTAGCCCATCACAACAACACTTGCATCGGATGCTTTAACCAGCGGCTTCCGGCGGCACGCGGAACTCCAATTTGCAAACGCGGCGGAAGCGGATACCTCGCGATAGCTCCGCAACCCGCGCGGGGCGACCGGAGGCTCAACGGGCGGGGGCCTCAGTTCTCGACGCAGCTGGGCGAGCTCGGGGCCTAGGGGAACGCCGCGGCCCAGGACAGCGAGCGAGCGTCGGTCGCGCAAGATGGCGCGCCAACCGAGATGATCGGAGCGAGGACGACTCCCCCCGAAAGAAAGAAGCATCCGCGCCGAACACTTCGGGGGCGCACCCTGCGAGAAGTTCGGCCATTGCGGCGAGGGCCGGGATCGCGCGGGCGAGCAGCTCGCCCCGACCAGAGACGGGCAAGAAGTACACACTGACTTCCGTCACGCGCCTCCATCGTCGACAGGATGGCGCAGATGCGGGCGAAGACCGACAGCAAAGGTCGGCGGCACAGTAAGATCTGAACTCAACATCCCACCAGCGACGCCATGATGGCGTGCGTCGAGCGTCCGAGGAACACTTGAGCGACGATCAAACCGGGTCGCGGCGCAGCGACCTCACGCGGCGGTTTGCGAGGGCCGCCAGCGCGGCACGCTGCGCTGGAGACGAAGGCGCCCACTCGCGACCTCACGCAGCCGGCGACCAGCTCACGCGCCACGTCGGCGCAGACGGCCCCGCTATTTGTCGCGCCGCTCTCTCGGATGCGCGCCAGCCTCCGCGGAGCCACCGCTCGAACAAGCGGGGCGCGGACAATGCCGATCATACCTTCGCCCTCGGCGCCGACGACGACCGTCTGGGCCGCGGCGCTGTCGCGCTCACCTGCGCGCTGGATCAAGCCCACTTCAAGGTGGCCACGATCGCGCGCGGCAAAGCCCCTCGCCCCCGCGAAACGGATCGCCGGGGCGGGGGAAGACCCCTTTTCCAGGAAAGCCTTTGCGAACACCATCATCGCCGACGCTGAGCATCTCGACGACAGGGCCTCGCGGGGCGGGGGGGCAGCGCACCGCTTGCTCCTGGGGCCGAAGGACCGCGAAGCTGCGTCGCACACCCTCGCGGGCAGCATTGGCGACTTTAACCGCAAAATAATCGCCCATAGCGAGCGCATTCAGGCGCGGGGACCTATCGAGTCCTTCCAGCTCGGGGCGCTATGCCTTGAACGACTTCAATCGGCTGGAAAGGAGCTGTACTCGCAGCGCGCTCCGCATGGCACGGGCAGGCGGCACATCCAAGGTGTAGTAGAACTCACGCAAGTCGCCCCACGGCGCAACCAGCCACTCGCCCGGCGCCCGGCCCATGCGATAAAGCAAGAAACCCCGACTACGATGCTGGCATCGCTGGAGGAGCGCATTCGCACGTTCGCGACCCCACCTGGCCTGGGCGCGCCCGGCAGCCGCAGCGTCGTCGACTGCGCCGACCCGCCGCGACTCCGACCCCCGGCAGCTGCGCGCAAAATACAATGCGCGCGCGCGCCCCCCGTGGCGCCGCTGGCCTATTTTGGGGGTGCTTTCGGCGTGGGCCGCTCTCCATTGTGGGCCTTCGGAGTCGGCGCCGGGCTGGGCGGCGCCCGCGGTGCCCGCGACTGCCCCGCCACGCGCGCGGCCCCCAGGCGAGCCTTGCAGGACTCGCCCTGAGCTGACAACCAGCGGCGATCCACGGGGGGCGCAAAAGGCCGCTGGGCCCCCCGCTCAACGTGGAGGCGGGTGACCCGCGACGGCGGGGCCCCCATCCCCGCGAGGAACCACGCGGCCCCCGGGCAGCCGCGGCCCCCCGCCAGCGCTGGTCGTTGAACGTGCACTGGCACGCCACGAAGGCCGTCATCCTGTCCGCGACGCCGCCCCAGAACGCCCGCCGCAGGGCCGCGCTCAGCCACGCAAAATGCGTCGGCATCTCGTGCGTCACTGAGCGGGCACCCAACGGGCTCTGTTCGCGAAACTACCGGAACATGGCCACGGGGGCCAGAGCGGAAGCCCCCGCCCCCAAGGCACGCGCCAAGCTCGTTTTCATCAGCGCGCGAAGCTCGGGCCCGCGCTGGACCACCAGCACCCGACGCCACCCCCGTCGACGCGCGATCCCGCGCATCAAGGTCGAGGCAGCACCCCCTTCGGCCAATGGAGGGCCCGCTGCCTGGGAGGGGCCGCTGGGCATCCCCAAAGGCGGGTGGGCTGCGGCCCGCGGCTGGCGCGACCGCTGGAGCGCATCCCGCAGACACGGCCGCAGGGCCAGATCCAGAGTGGCCCCTGGGCTGCCGGTGGGGCGGCAGGGCGGGGGCCCCTCGCCCTCGACGCCTCCCTCGCCTAGGCCGAAGGCCCCCCGACGGACCTGGCCAGAAGGGGAGGGGGGGGCAGGATTGGCGAGGGCGCGAGAGGTGGAGGCAGCGGAGGCCGAGCGCTCCAAGGCCCGCCCCTGCCACAGGCCGCCACCAGGGCGGGCGACGGCGCAGGCGCGCGGCTCCGGGCCCGCAGAGGAAGTTTTGAGGATGGCGCGAGCACGGCCTGCAGCCCGGCCCGAGGGGCCCCCGCGCGCGCCGCTTGGTCTGCGAAGAGCTGCGGCGCCTCGGCGCGGGAGCTGCGCGGGTCCTCGGGGGCGCCGAGCGGGGGAGCCACCACCTGGGCCGCCTGGGCAGCCATCAGACAGCGGGTCTCCACCTGGGCCTCGGCACGGGTCATCGGCGCAGCCTCGTCGAAGACTGCTGCGGGGGGGGGGGGGGGGGGGGGCGCCCGTCCCGCGGGCGGGCCACGCGGCGCCCAGCGCCCTCTGCCTCGCGGCAAGACGGGGGGCACCTCAGAAGAGTCGGAACGCCGCCGTCGGCGTCGACGTCCCCCTCCTCGCCCTGAACCACTCGCTCGTCCGCTGAGCGGTAGAGGGTCGTCCGCCCCGCACCTGGGAGCACCTCCTCTGGGCCTTTTGGATCGCGACATAGCCATCGCGAAAGGCACGGACCCCCGAGGGGAGCGGCCAGCGGGAGCGGCCGCGCGCGGCCACAGCAGGCACTCTCCTCCCGGCGCCCCCGTCGGCCAGCGGGCACAAAGCTTCCAGTTCCATCTCCCCGACCTCCCGGTCGACCGCAGCACTGACGCAGCGGTGCTCAGCGGGCGAGAAGCCGCGCTGAGCAGGGCAAGTCGACCACGTGGCAAGGACCGCACAACCCTTGGAAACCATCCGCTAAGGCGAGGCCGACGTCCTCGACCGGGCGGAACGCCGAGGGCAGCGCGGGCAAGATACCTCCTGGCCGAGACGCCAAGCGGATCACGGCGCAGCCTGCCTCGCCGTCGCCCAGGTGCCAGCGGTCGCACCTGGTGGCCGCAAGCGCCTCGAACGGGCAAGGTCGGGCCAGACTGGCCCTTCGGGGGCACGACCAGCCTCTCCCATAGCAGCCAAAGCGGCCGTCATACCCGACGGCATGCGCAGAAGGCCCCGCAGGCCTCCCGAGGGGGCCAGCCCCGATGCGCCGCTGGGGACGAGCTAATTACCGGCCAGGGCCCTCAGCCTGCACCTCTGGACCGTAGGCCAGGGCGCATCGCCCGCTGCGGCCGTGCCCGCCAGGGGCACCGATCGCCTCGCACGCGCGGGTGAAGGGCAGACGCCCCCACCAGCAGGACACGATGGCCCCGATGCAGCAGCTGCCGCGGAGGCTGCAGAATCCTGTGACGCCAAGAGGCGCCACTGCCGAGGAAAGCAGCAGAGGAGTAAGCCCGTTGCCCATGTCCCACCACCAGCCCCCGACGAGGACAGGCAGGGGCTTCCCGCAGCGAGCCGCCCTTCGGCGAGAACCTCCTTTGGGGAAAAGGGGGGGAGCCCAAAGAAGGCTCGCAGCCAAAACGGGGGGAGGCGCCGCTTCGAGCCTGGGAACGGCGCCTCCCCATGGGGAGGGGCGAAGGCGGCGGGGCAGGCCGACACTGAGCCGGCTTGGGGGGGCCAGGTGCCCTCCGCCGCCCGGGTCGGCGCGTGGCGGCCCACGGAGGCCCTGCAAGAGGGGCTCCGAGGTCCACGAATGTTCGACCCGCTCGCAGAGCGCAGCCCGCGTGCCAACGAGCCGCTCGCAGAGCGCAGCCCGCGTGCCCCCGGGTGAGAGCCCCGCCCGCTCCCTCGACGGAGCGCCTGGACGGGCGCCTGCACGAGGCGCCAGCGGGGAGGCGTGGAGGGGAGCCACTTGGGCCGAGAAGCTGCAGAGGGCGTCGGGCGCAGGAGGCACGGAGAATAGGAGAGAGCATGGTGACGTGTGTGTGTGTGTGTGTGTACTTATGTATGTGGATGGGTACACCGAGAATACAAGCCACACGACCCACCCCAAACAAAGTACCAAACGAAACATGGGGAAAAAACATCAATCAGATCCACATCCACCGCAAACATAGGAAACATACGAACACTAACAAATAAGAAAAAAAACACGGGTGAAGCGTTGCCCGTCCTTGGCAGTACCAGGGGAGAGAGACGAGGAGAAACCATAACGCGAACCTGTAATGGGAGGAAGGGAGGTACGGGAGGCGAAGAGCGGGAGGGGGAGGGAGAGGATGAGGGAAGGGCCTTTAAGAGACCAGCAGAAGAAGTCGCAACTATTCCTCCCTCTTCCGTCCCCCCCCGTCCCCGCTGCATCCCCCTTTTCCGCCCCTCCACCTCGTTGTCCTTTTGATCCTCCTCCTCCTCCTCCTCCTCCTCATCATCATCATCATCATCATCATCATCATCATCATCATCATCATCATCATCAGCATCATCATCATCAGCATCATCAGCATCATCAGCATCATCAGCATCATCAGCATCATCAGCATCATCATCAATTATCAGCAGCAGCAGCATCATCATCAGCATCATCACCACCATATTCCTCCTCTTCCTCCTCTTCATCATCCCACTCCGCCTCCCATTCCCTCCCTCGCTCCTTCAACCCCTCCCTCCCTCCCTCACTCCTTCTCCATTCTCCATGCTCCGTGCCGCCTGACTCCCCCCCTCTCCTCTCTGCATGATTCTCTCTGGCCCTCTCTCCCTCGTGCGCCTCACCTGGGGGAACAAAAAGATACGGAGACTCAGCACCCTCCGAGCCTCTCTCGAGATGCGTTCTGCCCACGATTACGAAGCAAATCCAGCCGTGGGGACGAGGAACCCCCAAGAGGCCCTGAAACATGTTGCCGAGGGAAGGACATCGGCATCGGTGTGCTATTCTGATCTCCTCCCTCCTGCACTCCAGGCGTGGCTGGGGGGCCTCTCGTCCTCGCCCTCGGCTGCGCGCATCTCGCTGATCCTGTGCCACGTCTCGCTGCGCCGCTTCCGCAGGCGCCCCGGGTTGAGCTCCTGGCGGGCGCAGCGGAGAGGGCGCTGGGGTGGGGAGGAGGGAGGCAGGGAGGAGGGGGGACGAGAAGGAGGAGGAGGGGGGGGGGACGAGGAAGAGGAGGGAGGGAGGCGGGACGAGGAGGGGGGACGAGGAAGAGGAGGGGGGACGAGGAGGGAGGACGGGGAGGGAGGAGGGAGGCAGGGAGGAGGAGGGACGGGGCGGAGGGCCCGAGGAAGACCCCGGATGCATCCACGGTGCCGCGGCGCACCCTCCCGTCCCCAGGCTGCCTCCTCCGTGGGTGTCCCTGCAGGCAGCGCGCCTCGCCCATGGGAGGCGCCCCCCACACCCCCCCGGAAAGAAGGAGCGCCCACTGGGCCTGCCGCTCCGGCGAGAGCCCCCATTCATTGGACAGGCCGCCGCGGGGGCCTACCGTTCGGGCGAGAGAGCCCCCCTTGGAAAAAAGGCACCGCCCCGCCTCCTCCTCCTCCTCCTCCTCCTCCTCCTCCTCCTCCTCCTCCTCCTCCCTCCTCCTCCT